GCTGTAGGCAAATTGCTCTTCCAAATTGGCAACACCGAGCTCTCAAGCTGCTCAAAAAAAAATTTTTTTTCTTCCCTGGATAAAACCTTTGGAACATGCATTTTCTTGACTAGTGTTTCTGAACTAATCCCCAGTTATGGATTTTTTAAAGGGTTCAAGGGACTCACAAAATAACTGTGGTTTTGAATACAGTGCATTTTTTTCTGTTTGATCCAAAATTACCTAAGAACATATAGAGAGAAGGGTTTCCTTAGAGACTTAGGCACACGGCCATCACTATTCAATTTGTTCCTGGATGTTCTGATGTCAATATCTAAGTAGTAATTGGCCAGCTCCCAGCACTACTCCCGCGAACAATTGGGCTTTGCCCTACAGTGGAAGACCCAACACCCACCCAGAACAACAGTTTTCAAAGACCTAACAGGCACTTTTTTTTTTTTTCCTTTTCTGGAAGTCCCTGCTCTGTTCAAGGGCTTTATGGTCAGAAATTCCCTGCCCCTCCCTTCCTGGATACATACATACCCATGCAAGAATATTATAGCAAGAAAATGCTTCTAGGTTTTTTTTTTTCTTTTTCTTTTTTCTCTTTGCAAAGAGAAAATAGAAGCTCATTTCCACTTGCCAGCCTAAGAGGCTCCGTCTGGTGAATTGACACTGAGAATTTTGCATCTAACTAAAATGAACAGTTTTAGAGATGAGAATGAAGTATATAGTCATTGGCAGGAAGGTAGGAATGAGATTCGCCGTCAGAATGCCCAGGTCAAAGAGACAACTCTGCTATTGACCAGTGTCAAAGCTTGGCCAATTTTTTAATCTCTCTAAACTTTGGTTTTCCTTGTCAGTTAAGTGAAATTAGTAAAACTACCTGCCCTGGCTTCAATCTTCCTAGGGTTTGATAGATTGAGGATAGATTGCGATCATGCGGGTGAATAGGCATTACAAACTGAAAAGCATATGTAAGCAATTAATTATTATTAACAAGCTGAGAATATTATCTAATTGCTCATAAACACATGCTGTGAGTACTCATGGTCTGTCACTGGGTAAATAAAAACTTTGCTTCTCCTGTGTACAGATTTGTGCATAATCCTTCAGTGGAACGAGAGAAGGAAAATAACATTTACTCAGCAACTATTATTGTCCAGGCCCTTTTATATCTATACCGATAATTGAATTTATATCTATTTTAAAAATCTACAGAGTTGACCCTTGAACAACACAGGTTTGAACTGCACGGGTCCACTTATATGCAGATTTTTAAAAAATAAATACAGTGCAGTTTATGTAAATGTTATTTTCTCTTATGATTTTCTTAACATTTTCTCTCTAGCTTTATTGTAATAATACAGTGCATAATACATATACAGAATATACGTTAATCAACCATTTATGTTAGCCATAGGTTTCTGGTCAACAGTAGGCTGTTATTAGTTATGGTTTTTGGAGAGTCAAGTTATATGAAGCTTTTTGACAGTGCAGGGGATCAATGCCTCTAACCCTCCAGTTTAAGTCAACTATTTTTTTTAGTTATCTGAAAATCTGATTGATTAGCCTCATTTTCATATGAAGGAAATTGAGATATAGAGATATTAAATGTTAGCTGGCAGTGTTTCCCAAACTCTGTTCCCTGAAATCCTCCTTGTGAGAAATACTTCTTTATTAAAGAGTTCCATGGTCCAAAACTTTCAGAAACTTTGCATTCTTTCCCCCCTCCAGATTCACGGTGCCTAATACCATATTGATAGCCATGGAAAAAGTGCTACATAGTAAAGAAGACTGTTTTGGTAAAGGAACCTTTTAACTTTGCTCAATTCAGAGTTCTCCAAGCTTATCTGATCTTCAGACCCTATTTTCCAATATACTTATGAAATTTTGATAAAACTGGGATTCCACAGAAAACATTTTCCCAAACACAGATCTAAATTTATGACTGGAGGTACTGTGTGGTAAATCTGCAATCCGAATACAAACCTGTCCTCTTTAAAAGATATACTCTCACCATATACCCCAAATGGTAGGAAAATAGAGAAGGGCAATTATGAAATTTTATTATTCTATATCTACTACTAATTTTATCAGTATTATGGTTTATGGGTTTTTTTTCATTCTTCATTACTTCTCTGTTATAATCATAGTACATTTTGATTTTTGTCTTCTATTTTTTTTTTACTGTAGTAAAACATATTGCATACAATTTTACCATTTTAACCATTTTTAAGTATACAGTTCAGTGGCATTAAGTACACATTGTTGTACAGCCATCACTACGGCGCATTTCCAGAATGTTTTCATCTTTCCAAACTGAAACTCTGTACAGTCTTCTGGTGTTTTTTACCCAACATTTTATCATATGCATTTTCCCATGTTGCAACTTGCTCTTTTTTTTTTATAACTTTCACTTTAGTGGCTCTGAGATATTCTATCTAGATAATGTTCATGAATCTGCCTATTGTCAGACATTTTTATGATTTCCACTTTTCCCTTTTGAAAATCACAAATATCTTTGTATATACAACACTTTCCATATTTTGGATTATTTCCTTAGAATAGCCAGTAGATTGAAGAATATGAACATTTTAGTGATTTTTAACACGTCTAATTTTTTCTAAAAGTTATACCAAATTTATACTTCTTCTATGAATTGATAGATATATTCATTCATTCTATTTTCTGTGAAATAAACAGAGATCTAGTAAGTTCTAAATACTTGCCAAATACCTTGCGGAAGAAAAACATACTCTCCTCAAAAGATTTCAGTCCACTCTGGCCAGCATTAGTTATTACAGCCAGCATTTGTGACAACTAAGGACAAAAGGACTGATTTACTTGTCTAAAAGTTTTATTTTATTCCTTTGACTTTCAGTGAGAAGTTGTTCTTGCTACTTTGCTGATTCCTTTTGAGAATTTTCTTGCCTTTCCTTGTTTCCCCTTACCCACTTTTCACTCAGATATGTGCTGATGACCCAATTACTTAATCCCTAATCTTGTTTCCTTGTTTGTCAAATGGGAGTAATAATTGTACCAAAGTCAAAGGATTGTTGTCTGAACTCAGTGAGACACTGCATATCTTAAGTCCAGGCCTCGCACATTGTAAGTGCTCTGTAAACATTGCCTGTTACTGTTATTACTTCCAGGATAGATAAAGTGAAATGAATCTTCCATTAGTTGACCCAAGGAACAGGCATGATAAGAACTGTGTGTGAACTTTCCCCTGGCACCCTATGTCAATTTTTCAAACAAGTATTTTGTGTGTTTAAACAAACAAATCTACCAAGTCATGAACTTCCTTCATCTTTCTTTCAAGAATAGAACAGGTGAATTAGTATATGGGTGGTGGGTTTTTGTTTGTTTTTCCTGAGGCATATTCCCGCTAAATTTTACAAAGTTCTGCTTCCTGCTTCAAAAAGAAAAGATATGCCCTTCAGTTTTTTGTTACTTAGGATTTAGGAATGTCCCTCAATCAAAGAAATAGAACAGTGATGTGTGAACAGTTATAGGTTAGTGAGTTGAAAAAAAAATTGTACCCTGCACCCTAAGGAAAAATGAATTTTATTGTGTGAATTGAATTGACAAGCATTGGGCTAGTCAGTGTGCTAATGAGCCAGTCAGAAGACTCCAAATTCTGTCTAATCAAGCTTCTACTCTTAGCAAAATTTTTAAAAAGTCTTTTTCTTCCTGATTTTATACATATATATGTATATAGATATATTTCCAGTTCTGTCATAAACTTGGTCATTGATAGCATATATTTAATTTGTATAAAGGAGGAATATATGGCTCGGTAAATAAATTACATGAATGTTAAATTGAATTTCACATTGTGTTGTTTACAAAGACCAAAGATATGAGTACTTGACAGATGTCAATCAATAGATTCTATTGTTCTAGGAATTGTATATATGACATTAAAATTCTTAATAAAATATCTATTCAATTGTGACCACATCTATTTTACTTGAAAATTTTACAAAAATGGATATACTGCGCAACCAAATAGTCTCTTCACAGAAGCAAGTAAATGTGGCATATGGTGAAATCACTTCAAGCTGCTGAAGAACTAGCAAACTGTAAAATACTTTACTGTCATAATAGAGCATCATTTTCCTCCGGATGAAATCATTCGTTGCCGTTTTCATTGTCAGTGTAAAGTCCTTTTGTTAAATACTTCTGCCTTAAGTACCTATTAGATATTAAAAACAAAGCAAACAACCTTTTTTTCTACTCCAGCAGACCTATGGGAAAGGAAAAGATACTAAACCCTGATGCAGTTCTTAGGTTCTTCCTGAGGGAAGAAGTGGAAAGAGGCCGGAAGGTTTCAGAACCACAAGCCAAGTCAGCGAAGCAGAGCGTAAATCCAAATATTCAGCAAATGACAAATAAACCAGAAAGGAGGCACGGCAGCTGCTCACACTGGAAAGTTACCGAACGTTTATTTTGGTTCAAGTTTTATTTTTATATCATAAGGAACAATAAGTTTTCTGTGGGGGTAGGGTGTCTTAGTCCTTATTACAGGAATAAAGAACAGTGAGTTTTCAGTACAGGTGGGTGTTTCCTTAGGGCGCTTCTACACTCCCGCTTCTTCCTACCGGCATCCGCTCCGGTGGGACCTCCACCGCGGGGACAGAGAAGCCCAGGACGCCTCTGCTCGGGCGTTGGGGTTTTCTCGGCGCTCCTCCTCTGTGGTCCGGGCACACTGCTTACCAAACACTCGCATCTCAAACTCCGATTTCTGCAACAGGGCAGCCAACGGCGCGGGTCCGCTTTCCCGCCCGCCCCCCCGAGCGGCGGCGGGCGGCGGGCGGCGAACAAAGGCGGCGAGAGGCGCGCGGCCGGGGCTGGCGCGCGTCTCTCCGGCAGGAGGCGAAGGCGCCGCGCCCGAGCCTGCATTCCTCAGAAGCTCCCGGAGCCGGCGGGGCGACGTCACCCCCGGCTCCGCCCCCGTCCCTCCCCGAGCAAAGTAACTCTTGACTAACAGGAGCAGCCTCCGCTGAGCATGGAGAGCTGCTGCCGCGGCCGGCCGGCGACGCGGGAGACGCTTGCGCCCCAGAGGTAGTTTGGGGACTGCGAAGAAGGAAAAAGTGCCGGCGGGCGGCCGTGGACTTCCCGCCCTCATCCCGCGAGGCCCGGCTGGCACCTCGGTCGTGGATTTCGCTGCGATCCACCCGGCAGCTCTTTGCAAAGCTGCTTGAAACTTCTCCCAAAGTCGACATGGATACGGCGGCCGCGGCGCTGCCTGTTTCTGTGGCGCTCTTGCTTCTCTCCCCTTGGTCTCCCCTGGGGTCGGCCCAAGGCCAGTTCTCCGCAGGTGAGTGGCCTGGAAGGTGGGCGTGTGGGTGGGTGGGGGGGCGTCCGGATGCCCGATGAATGCCCCCCGGCTGGGGGCTCGTGAGGGCTGGAGCCGGCTCCTCGACAGGGCCGGGGGGCAACGATTCGGGGGCAGCTTTCGCGGCCCGGGCAGGAGCACAGGGCAGAGGGAGAGATGTCCCCAGAGTTTGCGCTAGGTGGGCCGCGGGGCACCGGGCTGGGCGCCACTTGGCTCAGGTAACTTTCATCTCCGCGACCCATTGTTCCTCTCGATGGCTCGCTCGGGGCCAGGGCTGGCAGGGCTGCCCGGGAGTGTGGGGAGACATTGCTTTTCTTGGGAAATTGGTAGCCTCCGCGTCCAGCGCACGCTGCACCACGCTGGGGAAGAGGGAAGAAAAAGTAGTTACTACTCGGGGACGGCTACTCTGTTGCTCGTGGTGCGGGCTTGTTGCTGTCTGCCTCTAGAGTGTTCAAGAAAAAAAAATATTTTTTTTTGTCTCCCCCCTCCCCCCCGCCGGGAAGCCATTGTCAGAAATGTGGAGACTGGAAGGGACTGACCTCGGCGCGCTTTGCCAGGTGCTTTTTGTCCCGGGAATAACCTCCCTTGACTATTGTCTAACTACTTCCCCGTCCCTCCGCCAGTCCCTTTCTCCTCCCCCAGTGTTGGCTGCTCCTGGTTTTGCTCTGTGCGTTAGGGCACTGCGTGGAGTAGGTTCCGTGTGTCTGTTGGCGGAGCCTGTAAGATGTTTTGAAATATGATTCTAAGGACCCACACCGAGCCGTCCTGGGCAGCGAGGTCTGGGTGCCGGGCGGGGGGAGCCTGACCCTGGCAGTGGCAGCCCGCTCCCCCGGTGGAGCCCGCCTCGGGGATGGGGGCTGCGAGCGACAGCCGGCAGAGTCCAAAGGGAGGGATGTGGTGTGCTCTTGCAGGTTGGGGCTCTTTGGGTTCTTGGTAAAGCCACTTAGAGAAGTCCGTGAAACCCCGTGTCTCCCAGTCCCGTCCTCTACCCTTCCAGTTTTGTTCTTTTCTGTTAGTTGCTTCTTTCGTTCTCTCCTCTGGGGGCTCTGAAGTTTCACCAGGTGGATGCTGGGGGAGCGGGCTCCTGGGCGCTTGTCTGCTGCTCGCGGGTCCTGACAACTTTTCTGGCCAGTCCACCCAGTTCAGCTTGGCTGGCAAGCGCATCTGCTGCCCTGAGTCTTGGTGCAGATGGAGACGCATTGGTGGCCGAGGGGTGACGGAGAACACCGGGAAAGTGACAGCCGCGCTCTTGGCTGAGGCCGCAGGGTCGGAAAAAGAACTTAACTTTGCGCCTGTCAGTTTCTCTCCTTGTTGTGGCTGCCCTGTTTCCTGGAAATAAACTCAGATAGTTGTGACCGGGAGTAATGTTTATTTCCCTTACATCCCCTTTTCCCTACGGTAGAACGCCATCAAAGGAGTTAGACCACAGATTCAGGTGGCAGCATGTGTTGTACACTAAAGCAGATTATGAAATGCCGCGTGTAGAGGAAAAGCCATGTATATTGGTGATGTATGCAGGACAACAGATCTATGCAATGAGTGATCCGATGGCTTAATTTAATTCTTTCTGTAGTAAGCATTACTACTGAATGCATCTCTGACATATAATGCCGGTTGGTATTGGAACCGTGCTTGATGTAAGTCATTTTGTGCAGGCAAGTTAGAGTGGGTATTGATTTCTGCACAGTGTTTGTCACTGCACTGAGAGCCTATGCTTCAAAAGGCATGTAGTTTTGTTAATTGAAAGTTTGAATTCTACCAGTTGCATGATTAGACTTACATGTATTCAAGAGTTGCAACTATTAACGACTCAACAGCTGATGGGTTTATTTTCAGCAGTAAAGAAACTTTTATATTTCTCGTTTCAAATGTTATTTACCCTTTAGTAAATACTAAATTCCCTCCAACAGAATGTGCAGATGAGCTTTTCTGATCTCCGGAGTTTAGATATCTCTAATGAACAATTGCGCTCGCAGACATCCAGTTCTAAGTAATTTTACCAAATATGCCTGGCTTTGTTTTAGTGACAAAGCGAAACCTTTGACTTTATGTTATGTTTAAGTAAGAGAATGTGCAGTCCTAATAAATGCAATTCTTGTAGGACTGTATCTCAAAAATTTTGCCATTCAGGATTTACGCATATGCCCAGAAATGAATGCTTTTCCCCCCCTGTTTAAAGTCAGATTGTGAATCTGCCTTTCTCCGTGAATTAAAAGTTTGTTTTGTAAACATTTTCATGTTCTGGTTATCCTAAGCCACTTGGTATTCTGCTGTCATCAGATTTTATGGCAGTCAGATTTGTTGTAAATACATAAATTCAGAGATTGAAGGTGTATTTCTTTCTTGCTGTTTTTTTTTCTTGGATTCTACTTCAAATAATGAACTTTTAGTTCTTTTGAGAAACTTGAATAAAATGCTTTAAAAGTCTAAAACAAATATATATTCAGAATTTTTAAATATCCTGTTAAATAGGTCTTTTAAATCACATCCATTAAGGCCAATTTACCACTTTTAGATATTATCATGTGGTTTCTAATGTAGTACATTTCAAAAGCAAATTTTGAAAGACTAAGGATTATTGGATATGTCATATACTCATCCAGTGTTCTTTCTTTAAACCACAAATTTAATAATATTTTTATCACTGGGACTTTTTCCTTAGCTTTTGGAATGAAAATGTAAAAATGCTGCATGGTGAGCCTCTTTAAAACAGAACAGCCTGTAAATATCAACTTATGTTATTTTAGCTTAATCTTTCACTTAAAATGATACTAGTGTCATACCTGGGGAAACTGAGGAATAGAAGCACAAAGATACACTGACATTCATGGAGTTGTGTAGCTGTTATCTCTTGATATTATAATGTAAGACAGTTTTCTGTCTTGGGACTCAGATGCCTGACAAAACCAGTCGCAGAGAAGTTACTTGGAAACTCAGCTTTCTCATCTGTAAAATGGTGATAATAATACCTGTCCTAACCTTTCCACCTGGTTTTTATGAAATAATTTATGTGAACTGGCACTGTTAAGTTGTAAAGCATTATGTAGCTTTCTGGAGTGTAGGCGTCATACATTAAGGTAGCTAAGTGCCTTGACTTTAGTCTCCTTGGCTTGCTCCCACACTCGCCTAGTGCGGACAGGCTGTTCAGGAGTGTGTGTGTGTATGTGTTTCCTCTGCCAGTCATTCATTTTAATCATTATTAAACATAAACATCCTAGCTTGGCCAGACTATAATTTTATCAGTACAGTGAGAGAAATTATCCTTAAATTTTTTTTTTTTTTGCTTACCTTGTGGAAATTGTTATTTGAGCTATACCTGTGGAAGAGTCATTATTAACATTCCTAACAATAGAAGAAATATATAGTCATTTGTTTAGCTGTTTGTTCAACTGTTGGTTGTTCAGCTTTTTCATCAAGAGTGTGGAGAAAAAATTATGCAGCGTTTTAGATGCAGTCTTATCAATGACCTAGAGAGGGACTATTGTGTCTCTAGTATGATGTGAGCCTGGAAATGCAGCTCAAGATCCTCACTTGATCTAGTTCCTGGCATGTCACACGGTAAGGGTGCACTCACTTGATCCCTTAGGACCTTGCAACTCATCTAAACAATGCCACTTTCCTGGTGTCTGACTCCTTGATGTCTCTGTATGTGAAGTTAATTTCTTTCATACTTACTACCTACTAGGAAAATACATCAGGAACAGCTTGTTTCAAGGTTTGTGCGCTGATTTTCTGGTTTTGATTGACCAGAATCGCTCAGTCCCTCAATTCATTAAAACTATAAATTTTAACACTGGTAATGATATATAAGTGGACATTTCCAGGACTGTTTTTTCTCTCACTATTCTCCATATATCTGACTCTGCTGATTTTCCTAGATTGCAAGATGTCGTTTTGTGTCTGGCCTACCCAGACGGGAAGAGGCAGGTCTGGCTGCTATTTGGGCTTGGCATGTGTGCTGCTGACAGCTCTTCTCTTTGTATTCATAAACACGAATTTGAAAAATAAATCAACCCCTCTGCCGCCCTGCCCCTCTCCCACACTCCTTCCCACTCCTCTTTAGCAACAACAAAGCCCGCTTGCACATAGACAACCTCACAGTCTTTTTGTTCCCACTAAATATCTTTTGGTGCTGGACATGTTCTTAAAAACTGGAACTATGACTCAACTACTATGCAGAGCGAACGCCAGTTTTCCCATCAAATCTCATATTTCTACCAGTGATGGTTTCCTACACATTTTTATGGCCTTTAAAAAACATTTAGTTTATGTGATACGGTCCTATATAGAGAAACTGTGTTGTTGCCTACCAGTGCTTTTGAAGTGCCATGATCTAGGTCTGTTCAAGGTGGTGTTAAAGACAGTGTAAATCATGCTAAATATGGATGTACTTCTCAGAGGCATGGAAAATGCTGTCCTCATCTGCCCTGTGCTGTTCCCATTTCCTCTACTTGCTCTTCATGGAGGGCAGGAAGAGGGCTGCTGCACGGCTGAGAGCCGGAAACATCGAGAGAGTTTACAGATTGCTCTTAAAGACAAAACAAAGAACACTAGGATTCTGTGTGTGTGTGCGTGCGTGTTTGATCTTTTATTTACTTTTCTAAAGAGAGGAAAAAAGCACCTTATTTTTGATTTGTTTATTGGAGTCAGCCTTTGCCTTTGTCCAAACACATTCATTTCTTATTCTGTAGATGTAAAAATTTCCCTCTGTGTATTCCTCTCAGACTTTATCCTTTGATCATGTGTATTTGTTTTGTGTTCCGTTATCAAGTGGTGTTTCTCTTTGTCTAAAAAGGTTATAATTGCTTTTGAACATGACTTGTTTTTTCACCAAAACTCATGCTGTTTATCATGGTTACTGAACAATGATATCTTCCCAGTTCATGATGTCTTAAACTGGTATTTGATAACAGAGTAAGTAAGTCTGTCCATCACGTTAATTTTAATTTTAGTTGAAGCCAGAAATAAAGTTGTAAATCCAT